AACAAAACCATTATACCCTGATTTCCCATTTTCAATGGGTTCAGGGTATAAAAAAATCGCATTTATGGGTCATACATAAATATAAACTTTAATTAACATAAATATATTTCAATTCAAAATTCCTGTTTTCCTTCAGTGCATTTCTGCAACTCATCATACCCCCACTCTCAGCTCACTGCAGGGTATTTTGAAAAAAGCTTAGTTGAACCATTTGGCTGGCAATTGCCAAAATGCATAGCGACATTCTCAAGCAGAAGCTTTTGAGCCTTTCTCGCAATTTTTGTTTAGCTACATTTGCTGCGCACCTTTTTACCACCTTGTCACAAGCGCACGGGGGGGCGGGCATGGGGCTTTGTGCTGTTATGGAGGATTTGGTTTTTATGGCACGACACGGCATTATCATTACCGTTTTGTGGTGTCGAAGTGCATAAAATTTATGCGCTCATATCGTGGCCCGCTTTGGCAAATTGATGTTCGCTTTATGAGTTGTGTTCTCTGGCATTATTTTGTGCCAGATAATTTGATTGCTCACATTGTGCGCCGTTCAGGTTTTGTCACTATAAAACACAAAAACAGCCACTGCTACAATTTCGCTATAAGCTTTGCTATAAATAGCATCAAAAATAAATTGCAATGTTTGTCAATGGATTCGAAGCCCACTCGAAAGAGTTTTGAGAAATTAATTATTCTTATAGCCCGCTGCCTAGGGCTAGGCGAATAATTAAAATTATTTTTTGTTTTCCCTATTTACATTTACCATAAAGCTTTTAGCCTAATTAACTGTTAAAGTAGTTTTTTTCTCTCTCTCTTTATAGCTCCCAGAGGTTTTGCAATTGAAGAGCTTTTTGGAAATGGCTTATTTAGGGTCTAGCTGGAGCAACATAAACTTTGTTCTTCTTTTTTTTTCTGCATAAATATTTTAGGAGTGAGCTGTTAAAAGTTGTGGCTTTTTAGATATTTTGTTGAAATATTAACAGAAATATGAGCAGTCTGATTTAGTTGTATAAGTGTAAAAAATATTGTTATTTAATGTGAGCAAATAATATTTAAGAACTATTTTTTTATTTATTTTTTTTTTTCCATCAAATATGCTTCTCTCCGTAAACACTTGATTTACATCTATTTTATTTTTATTTTATTTCAAATATTATTTTAATTAATATTTTTAAATAATATTGTAAATTATCTTTTATTTTGCTATTTTATTAAAATTTTATATATTTTTAAATTATTGGAATATTAAATATTTTTCTCTCAAATATCTTCTTTTGATTAAAATTTACATATTTTTTTTTTTTTATTATTAATAGACATTATTTTAAGTTTGCAAAATTAAATAAAGAAATAATCTAAATAATTTTTAAAATATATTTTTAATTATATAATATATATTATTAAATACTTTTTTCTTCAAAATCATTTGATATTAATGCTTTTTTTTTAACAAAAATGATCTTGAATATGTAAATTTATATATTACTATATTTTAAATAATCTTTAAAAATATTTTTTTTTATATATTATATTTTATTAAATATTCCCCCTTTCAAAAATTTCTTTCCTTTTCTATCTTATATGATTTTTGAATATAGAAATTCAAGACTTTTTTGTGGTTCCTCTTAAATATTCCGTTTCTCTTCTCTCTAAATTTAAAGCTATCTTATGCCTTGATCCGCAGACTCTTTAACAGCACTGAAATCTTAAAACATTTCTTGCCAACAAACATCAAGGTAACTCAGTCTGCAGTTGTTATTAAAAAGTTCTTGTTGTATTTTAAGATGATGAATGCATTTTTGCCATTTAGCATTATTTGCGATGTAGTTGAAGTAGTAATAGTACTCACACACACACTCACATACGTACATACATGTGCTGTGCTCATTGTCTGTATGTGTTTTGGGCCTAAGTAAGAGAAATTGCGCCGTCATCAAACATTTTTCTAGCTTCATGCATTTGCTTTATGTGTGTGCGACTTCCTTTGTTCGCATATTATTTTCGCACTTTTATTTGCATGTGTGTGGGTGTGCGGGTGTGTGTGTGCGATTCGGCAGCACTTGAGCGTCCTTTACTGTCAACTACATTTTGTCAAATTACTTATGCAAATCTTTCAACTTTTACAAGCGCGTCCTTGCCACGCGAAAATCTCGTTTAGTGCCCGCTGTCGCTGCTGTTGCTGCCGCTGCTGTTGCTGTTGCTGCTGCAAGCTTTCATATTCCTCTGAGTTTTTTGAGAAAAATTACGCTCAAAGCCTGACATGAAGTGGCAGCCAGGACACTGATATCACACACACACACACACACACAGTGTGGAGCCGCTCGCTCCATTCATAACGGGCGCTGTCACGAAGGTCTACTAAAAACCTATTTGAGTGCCAGCCAGAAAGAGTGTCGCCTGTCCAGCCCGTCCACCCGATCCTGGCTACTCCCGGCTATGCCCGACTGACAACAATGTTGCCCCCCCGCCATCAAACGGTGACTCTGTGGCGTCACTGAGCGACCTGCTCGCTGCTCGCAATCTGAATACCTCTTTGCAGAGGCCACGTCAAGTGCTCGCAGCGCTTATAAAATAAATAAAATTTATGCTGCGACGCATTATTGCCTTGTCTTTTGTTGCTCTCCTCCCACTCTCATTGTTGCTGTTGCTGTTGCTGTTATCGTTGTTGCTGTTCTATTTAAAATATGACAAATCGTCGACAGCCAACAGAGGGGGGTGTGGCCAGCAGCAGCGGCAGCGGCAGCGGCAGCTATATCACACCGCGGGAAACTCATTTTGTGGCACTGATAAATTTGTCGACCATAAAAATGCTTCACAAATTATGAATACCCTATGAAACCGAATAACCAGCGAATACGAATACATCAATTGTTGCGGAGGAGCTCTGCTTTATGAATCGGGTTGAGCCTGGCTCTAAGTATGCATCATTAAGAATTGCTATCGTTTTAAAAAGTTGAAGCTTTTAAGTCTTTAATGTATTTTCGGAATGATTGTGGATGATTGATTTAATGATAAAACAATAAAATTGTATTATTAAAACAAATATAAGTAGTAGTATTAAATAATTATAAATAAATAATAATTTAAATAGCCTAAAACATTTTTAGATATATGAAAAACTGCATGCATAATTAAAATATAATTGCAAAAATTAAAATTTTCTATTGTAAAAGAAAAATTAATAAAAAATAAAACATTAAAAAAAAAATAAAAAAAATAAAATAAGAAATAAAAAATGAATAAATATAAAATACGAAAAAAAAAAATAGAAAACAAAAAAGAAAAAATAATAATTTTTAAGAATTAAATTTAAAGAATGAATTATTTTCTAAAGAATTTAATAACTCATTTATTTATTATTATTTAGAATATAGGAATTTAAAATTATTAAAAAAAAAAAAAAAAAATTATATTAAAAAAACATTTTTTCTATTTCAATTGATTAAAAAAATGGCAATAATAAATATATCTAAGAAGTATTTGTATTATTATTTTTTTTGTATCTTTATTTTTAAATATTAAATATTTTTTAAATAAGAAAACGAACTAAAAATTTTTAATACAAATACTTGGCATTTATAAATAGAGAGAGCATTCGACTTGCGACTTGGTCAAGCCTTGTCCCGAATTTGTTATTGTAAATGATAAATACTTGGCTGGCTGTGCTTTCGCCTGTACCTGGAGTGCTTAAATGTATGCGTAACGCTGGCAAGGACAACGGCGATGGCAGAGGCAGCAGCAGCAGCGACAGCATTGCCGTCCAGCATTTTAGCCAGTTCATTATTTATGAGTGTGTTGGCATGGAATTATTCTTAGTCTTTATTATGGCAGCGCTGCGAAAGAAAGGGACTTAGATGGGACTTAGTGCTGCGGCGTTTAGTGTGCAAATTTTCAGATAACTTGCGCCAGCAGCGAACAGCCGAGGGGGGGGAGGAGTTAGCGGGCAGCCGACAGTGGACAGCGAAGCACCTAGTAAATATTTGCTTAATTAGTGAAATGACGGACCGCAATGGACGTCGCGACGGTCGTTCGCCTCGTCATTGTCGCCGCATGCAAACACGGGACAAGGACATGCCGCAGGAGCGGGAGCTAACGGGAGAATTTCATTGTTGATTGTTTGCCTGGCGCTTATATTAATTGAGTTTGTTACGATTTTTGACCTTGCCACGTAAGCAATTCAGGCACTTTTGTCTCAGTTCCCCCCCTTTTCCCCATTCTAGCTATCGATTTGGTCCATCATTAATCATGGCTGGGATCATACATCACGCAGCCACTGTGCGCATTTGATATGCATGAAATTGCAGCACTGTCAATAAGGATACAGCAGACAATAATTTGTAATAGAAAATCTGCATGCGAGTGGAGTCCGGGCCGGATCGGATCGGACTGGGACGGGCCGGGCCGGGCCGGGACAATGGCCAACGAAACAATTTACGGGCAATATTTCACAAAAGCTTCAAAACTGTCTTTGACAATTACGACAGGGCAGAGTTATTTTATTTAATGAATGCCACAGATTGCACAATGGAGAAAAATTGGTTGTCATGTGTGTAAGTGTGTGTTGGAGGGTGTGTGTGTGTGTGTGTGTGCACATCCTGTAACGCCTTAAAATAACTACCGAGTGTAATAAATTATGTGCAGCGGACAGTTCCAGCAGCTCCAGCAGCTACACTGTGCTGGCTAAACAATACAGAATACAGTAGCTGCTCGTTGCTTGGCACAGCGCCATCTACAGTGCATTTTAAATACCTGATGTCCTTTATGCTGCAGCAGGATCATCAAAGCAGCGGCGGGCATATGGGTACTTTTTGTAATTTGCAAATATTTCAATAGAACATCATGCTCATGCTGCCAAGGCATTTCGTGCGTCCTGCTAACAAGTGAGACATGCGCCACGCCACGCCCACCAACGGGTACAACAATAAATAATGGGGCGAGTCGGCAAATTGAATGGCACTCGCGTGCATATCCGCACAGTGGCAGACGAGCTCCAAGCACTGGATACAAAACACACACACAGAGAGAGAGAGAGAGAGAGAGAGAGAGAGAGAGAGAGAGAGAGA